CGGAAGGCTAGGAAGGCGTGGCCCTCTGTCTGAGGAAGGTGGACCTATTTAAAGCCTGCCTCCCACTTCCTGGCTGTGTGGCCTGGGGCAAGCCATGTATGGCTCAGGCCTTTGTTTCCCCATCTGCTAAAAAGGCATAATGAAACCAACTGCAGGGGTGGCCTAAGCGTGAAACAATAGAGTATAACTATAACTTGGAGTACAAAGCAGCTGCCATCTTCCTTTTCTGCTCCTCTCTCTCCCCATCAAGACACTCACACATGCACACAGATATATATGTACATGTACACATGCACGCACACACACGTGCTCTACTTAAGTGCTCACTTTCCAAGAACACACCATCCTTAGAAGGAAAAAAAAGGTCCAAGAGGCTCAGGTTGGTGTCTCCGCACCCTGGCTGGGTGGGGACAGGAGGGCTGTGGCTGAGGAGGTGGCAAATCTTAGGAGGCATGAACTAAGTGATAGGTTAGGGCCAGTTATACATGTCAGCCTGGAGCCAGCCTGCCTGGGCTTGCATCCTGGCCTTACCACTTGCCAGCAGGGTGACCTTTGGTGACCACTCAGCTGTCTGAGCCTCAATCTTTGTAAAATCATGTCACAGTCTACCTCCAATGAAAGAGAGTAAAGAAGCCTGAATGACATCCGTCATTCACTTCACAAATGTTTCCCGAGTGTCGGCCCTGAGCCAGGCATTGCTCTGGGCACCGAGGATATGGCATGAACAGAACAGGTACAAGTTTCTACTCTCCTGGAGCCAATGTCCTTGTGGGAGGGGCTGGCAATCCCAGCAGTGAGCAAACAACTGAGCAGTGCTACGTTCTGTGCAGAGCAGACAGGTGAGGCAGGAGGGGGACAGCAGGTGCTGGAGGGTTTTGAACCGAAGGCCAGGGACAGCCTCACCGAGCAGCTACTTGAGTGAAGACTGGCAGGGGCTGTGGGAACACGTCCCAGGGCTCTCTTGGGGAGGGGTCCAGCGTTCTAGGCAGAGGAAGAGCCAGCACAAGGCCCCCAAGGTGGGAACATGGCTGGGAGGGGCAGGAAGCAGCAAGCAGGCCAGTGGGGCTGAAGCAAGGAGCGGGGGTGGCAGGAGGGGCCCTCTGAGGGCAGGATGGGCAGGCCCACCAGTCCGGGCCTCAGTGACACGGGAGGCGTGGAGGATTTCGAGCAAAGGAGTGACGTGATCTGAAGTGATGCTTTCAAGAGGTCGTTCCTTCCGCTGTGCTGGAAGTGGAGCAGAGAGAGCCAAGGCAGAAGCAGGGAGAGCAGTCCGGGGGCCAGAACCCAGGCAAGGGAAGGTGGTGGCTGGGCCTGGGGTCGCAGCAGGGGAGATGGGGAGGTACGGTCAGAATCGGGCTACATTCTGGAGGTAGTGCCCACAGGATGGACTCTGGGTCTGGATGGAAGAGTGTGAAGGAAAGAGAGGAATCTAGGTTAAAGGCAGGGTTTGGGCCCGAGCCAGGGGTGCCGGCAGAGCTCAGAACTGCCTGCACACAGCAGCAACATAGGCCAGCTGGTGTTAGTAGCTAGATGAGGGGAGGACAGGGCCTGCAAGCAACCTTCCTGGGGTGGCCATGCGAGGAGTTGAAGCCACCACGGCTGCTCTATACCAGGCTCATCAAAGATGTCTAGAAAGAGCATCTTTTCTGTGTGGGGCCAGTGGTCTGGAGCAACTGCTAGCAGTCTGGAGGTGGGTGAGCCCTTGCTTTCCACCCACAGAAGCCAGTGAGAGGCCTGCGATCAACACTGAAGGCCTGGACTTGCGGCCCACCTCCCCCATCAAGGCTGGGCTGTGGTAGGTCTTGCCTTTCCTGCACCATGGGAAAGGGACGTGGTCCCCCTCCCTTCCCTCAACTCCCGTGAATGCTCAGTGCTCCAGGGCCCTGCAGAGGCACACTTGAAAGAGGCAGGGGGTTATCTGCAAAATTCCAATTAAAGCTGCAGGCTTTGATAATTTGATAAGCCTCTCCGCAGTTGCCCCAGAGTCACAATATGCTGTTACTGGATCCTGTGTTTATGTTTCAGGATGGAGGGAGGAGGTATAAGGTGACGTGGGAAGGGAAGGTGCAGCCCTGAGAGGGAGGAGTACAGGCACTCAGCTGATAGATGGTCAGCCTGTCAGCCTGGGTCACCTGCAGGTCTGGGCTCTGGGTGCTCACAGCAAGTACACTCTGCAGTGGGACTCCGGTCTCTCCTGGCAGGTTCTGGGGGCTGAGCCGGGCCAGAGCCTGGAGCCAGGGAGGAAAAGCCCTTCAGAACTGTCTGGCTGCAGTTCACCCTACTTCCTCAGGTCTGTCTCGTGCTGGAGGGATTCCTGTTTTTAGCCTATCTCTTGCTAGATTAGTTGTGAACCAGCCCAGATGGCTGGTACTATCTTAAGAAAGAGGCAGATAACTCAATGCCATGCTGACTTGGAGGCCAAATGTTTTACAACCCTTCTGTGCAAAAGCCAGGTTGTGAGCTGCAGGGTGGAGCGTGCACTGAGCTGCATTGCATTCCATTCCGTTCTACAACCTTCCACAAGAAACAAAACTCTTGAGCACCTCCTGTGTGTTAATAGCATTGGCCAGTTATCTCCATAAGCCCTTTCAACTACTCCAAGGGTTCCATATTATCTTGTCTTAGGGATGCGAAAACAAACACAAAGAGGTTGAGCAGATGGTCAGAGATCACAGAGCCTTGAGTGGCAGCCCAGACCCCAGAGCCTGACTCCGCAAAACCATGCACAGTCTGGTCTCTATCATTCCTTGAGGGTCTTCTGGAGATGAGTAAAGGGCTCCCATATCGCCTCTCTGTGCAGGTTGACAGGTGATTTAGCTGACTGGCAGAGAGCAGGATTTAGAGGCACAAGTCAAAGGGAGGGTCAGTGGATTTTGTGGCAAAGCACCTACTCCTTCATCCACCACATGGTCACGTGGCACACCAATGATTACCTGCCTGGGGGTGGGCATCTCCTCTCTCTCCATGTAAGGCCATTGCACAGAGGCAGTGGCAGGGCCAGGCGGACCCAGGGATGCTGCTGTTAGTTGAGAGCCTGTCTCTGCCCTTCCTCTGAGGCAGGTTGGGTGGGAAGACAGACAGGATACACTGAGAGGCATCAGGATATAGATCTGGTCCCTTGATTCTTCTCCAAACCAGAGAGGCAGGTGGGAAGAATGGAAAGAGTAAGGGCCTGTGTTTGGAACCAGAAAAATCTGGGTTCAATTCCTGGTTCCAGCTGTGTATCCGTATCTGTAACATGGGAATAAGAATGTATAAACTCCTGGTACTAACCTCTCTCACAAGCCTGACACATAGTAGGTGTGGTGAGAACAATGCTTCTCCCTCTGGTGAGAACACACATTCGTATGCCATTTTGTTGTTTACAGAGTTCTTTCCCAGCCCTCATGTCATCCGAGTTTTGCAGATAACCCTTGGAGTTGACAAGAGCAGAGTTAATCACTATTCCCCTTTTAAAGTTGAGAAAAAAGGCTTGGGGAAGTGATCTGCCTTGAAGTTGTGTGGCTAGTAAGCAGCAGGGCTGGGGTGAGAACTCAAGACTGTGCATCCTATTCCCTGCAGCTTTTAACTATTCCACATCGTGAACCAGGTCACAGATGGGTTTCTAATGCTCTGTAGCGTTTGCTTATTTCTTAAGCCTGTGGCAACCAGAAAGGGAGGTGGCCTTTGAGGCATCTTTGGGCCAGGTAAACTTCCTAGCTGGGTAATGCTTTTCCTCCTCAAAGGGCCCAGGACTTTTTAGGCTCTTAGACTGACAGTATGGATGAAAAGAAAAGGGCCCCTTTGGCAGAACTGCCATGTTCAGGTGTGCAGGCTGCACACTTTACAATTACCCTGGGAACCATTCACAGACAGTGCAGTGTGAATTGTGCCCCTGGAGCTGTGCAACACAAACCCTTGTCTTCAGACTTTGTCCTCCTCACAACTAGGTAGCCCCCTGCCTTCCCCATCTGTCCCAGACAATTCCTCTGTACCATTCTTTCCCTTCCCTCCACAGTACCCACCCCATCTGTCTCTCTGTCACCCATCCTGGTACTTTAAGATTTTAGGGAAGAGAGATATGGTGCGAGGTGATCAGTTAGCATCTCCTTTAGTCCTCTCCCGAACCCCCCTACCCAATACTCTTCCCTGCCTGCCTTCTTCTGCTCATCAGCTCCTGGGTAGAAACCAGATTTTTCTCTCTGAGGAGCACAGGTGCGGGAACCGTTCTGAGCAAGAGAGGGTGCCATGAGGGTGGAGTTTGGTCATGTATTTGAGGAACAGCATGACTGGGTGGGTGATCTTGACCATCAGGCCCAGAGTATCGTGATTGCCCATTTTTCTCCAAACATGGGAACAGTGGCCAGCACTGGGCCACTAGGAATCAAACTTTGGGCTCAAGTTTCATGCCTGTCACATACCCAACCCACTGTATGACTTGGGGGAAACCACCTAATCTCACTGGCCCCAGTTTCCTCCTCGGTAAACAGGACTGCTAAGGTTTATTATGAAAGGCTACAGGTAAAAGCCAGGTACATTCTGTCACCTTGACGATGATTTGTAAGATCTGCTATAACATTCAACGACTGCTGAGTTATTCAGGGTGTGAGTTTTCGGCCTGGGCTGCACATGTCTGTCAAGGCCTGCATTTCTGCTGGAGGCTCCGTAGCATTAGCAATTCAGATGACTGCTTACCCTGGGCATCTGAATGGCATGACCACTGTGTTTTCTGTTATTTCATCTGCTCCTATGAGCTAAAGAATTTGCAGAAAAACCTGATCCCCAAATGCAGAGACACCCTTATTTGCCAGCTCTTGGGTAAAGGAAATGAGGAGCAGGCTTTGGCCAATAGGAGTCTGGGGAATAGTGGTCCACATACCTTTGGCCCATCTCTCCTTAGCCTGGTTGGCCTTGCCAGTTCCCCCTTTCCTTGTGCCCCCACATCCTGAGCCTCTCCAGGCTGGTCTCAGTTTTAGCCCACACCTTTCAAGCACACAGCAGAGGCCTGAGCTACCACTTACTCTTTTGGGGGGTTGATATCCTCTGGTCGGGCCTCAAAGAACTGAAAGACTTCATCACACTGTGAAATGTGGGGAGGCAGTCGGACAAGTGCCTGTGGAAAGACAGAAAGACAGGGCATCAGGCCTGGTGAAACTGGGAACACGAGAGCCAGACGCAAGGCCAGCTTGGGGCCAGCAGCAGTGGGGGGGCTTACGGGCTGTGCCATGGAGGATGGTCAACCAGGCACCCACCCACCCACCCACCCACCCAAACAACTGATCAGTGGATTAACTAATCAGCTAACTAATGAAACAATTCTCCATCCATCCCATCAACTAGCCAACCAACCAATTAATCAACTAACCAACAATCTACTAATAAAAATAACGAATTAATCAGTCAACCAATCAACCTTTTAGCCAACTATTCAGCCAACCAGCCATCCAACTAGCCAGTTAACTAACTCAAAAACCAGCCAATCAAGCGAAAAACAATGACTACTGAACCCTAGGACTCAGGCCCTCAGGAACCAGTAATTCTGCATGAACCCTGAAAGAGTTCCTTCATGCCCACAAAATAAGTCCAAGATCCTTAGCCTGACAATCCAAGGGCTTATCCTACCAGCCTCCTCTCCCACTAGTCACACTCCCGCAGCACCGGATATTCATAGCTCCTAAATACTGACTGCACAATTAATTATTTAATGAGAAGCTGGTGATTCTACCAAGGGCAACAGGTGTTACGACAGAGTCTGATAGGATCTGGGAAGATTATGAAAGGGGGTGTTTAAGAGATGGTTTGAATCTGAGTTCTGAAGGATGGGTGAGAATCAATGGTCGAGGTGACAGGGGGTGGCATGGTGACTGCAGGGGCTGGATGAGGCCAGTGCGGCCTGAGTGAACTGAGCAGAGGGGGATGTGGGCCTGAGGTAGCAGGGCCCTGTTTAGGCCAAGCTGGGGATGCGTGGAGGAGCAGTGTAAGGCGATGGGCTTGGAAGGGCTTCTCAGAAGAGTGGGCGTGAGCTGGGCTCGAGGGCCTCACAGGATTGGACAGGCAGAAAGCAGGACATGGGCCTCCTGTCGGGAGAGCTGCCCAGGTGGGGTGTGGCCCAGCTGGCCAGCTGTGAGCTTGCCATCCAGGGAGGGCAGAGTCAGCTGCTGGGAAGTGAGGGATTAGGGACAGAAATGGTCAGAGGTCCTGCTGCACTCCAGCTCCTATCCCACACCTTGCAGCCTGGGGCACCTGGGACCCCTGACTTGGCTCAATCCAACACGGAATGCCGGATGAGAAGCCTGCTTCCTGGCCCCTCAATTCAGTATGGAGAGAAGACATTGGGATGATCCTTGAGTACAGATAGGAGAGGTCACTGCCAAAGCAGGGCTGAGAGATGGGGCCAAGGGACTCAGGCTAGTGCCAGAAGCAGGAAGAGCAGACCCCGGGACTGTGGGAGGGCAAGGGGCTGCCAATAAGAAGGCTGCAGGTCAGCAGCCTAGACAGGAGCTGGTTAAGTGCCCATGGCAGAGAGAGACAGAGAGATGGTGAAACAGAGGGGCAGCGAGGGAGAGCCAGAGACAGAGACAGATTTACAGAGAGAAGGAGAGAGACAGAGAGAGAGAGGAGTGGAAATCCGGCAGTGCAAGGACACAAGCAAGGCCTCCTGGCGGGAGTCAGGATGGCTGCTGGAGAGAGTGCTAATGGGCCAGGACTGGGTGGAGGGCAGAGGGAAACCACAAGCAGGGACCCAGGTGGGGAACAGAGCTGCTGTCAGGATGGCCTCCCCGGCAGGGAGTGGGAGGCACGGCGGGGCAGGTCCGCAGCCAGGCCAGGGCTGGCCCAGCGCCAGCAGCGGACACAGGGGCTCCTCATGCTGGCACAGACCGGCACTCTGGGGCAGAGGGCATGTGGGCTGTGAGCGCCTCAACAAAGAGGCCTTGTGAGCGAACCACTGCTGCGTTTCTATTTAACAGGGAGCCCAGGGGGAGCCACACTGAGCGCGTGTCTTGACTTCGGGCTGACAAGACGCTCTCAGCTCAGAGCAGCTTCTGTCAGAGCTGCCACCAAACCCAGCTCTGGCCAGAATCACTCGGCAGGCCATCTGGGTGCTGAGTGGTCAGTCCCTGAGGCCTGGGCTGGTGACAACTGCCAGAGCCAGTGACCCCTCCAAACTCAGCCCTGTGAGAGGAGCAGGCAGGGCTGACCCCTGAGTCTCTTCAGCGGCACGACCCCTAGCTCGGGCAGAGAAGTCTGCCACTGGACATTTGGGATGTATGCGATGGGGTGGTTAAGTCAAGGCCTTGGGGCCAGGCAGGCGTGGGTGTGAGTCCTGGCTCTACCATTCAGGCTGTGTGATGCTGAATGTGCCACTTGCCCTCTCTGAGGCTCAGTACAGCGGATCTGATATGGCAGCTACCTGTTAGGAGGCTGAGTGAGATCATGAATCCCGGAGCCCGGCACTAAGTAAACAGTGAAGTTTAGCTGTTACACTGTTGTCCTTGCTGTCACTGTTTCTGGGTGAAAGCAGTGAGGCTACTAGAAAGAACATTGGAACGGGAGTCAGGAGACCTCAATTCTAGTTCCAGTTCTGCTTTATATATGTGCTGTGTGACCTTGGGCAGCTCACTGTCCCTCTCTGGTTACTGTTTCTTCTAGGATAAAACAGACTAGCTCTGAAACCTCAAACTCTACCTCATGGAACATTAGCTTGATGAGATGAAGTGAGTTCTGAGGGCGCGTGTGAACGGCGCCTTGTAGGTCTCCACCATGGCCTTGGAGAGCACCACGCTTGTTAGCACAGTAAAGGCTCTGAGAAGCCCTGCAGAAAGGAAACCTGCAGAGCTCTGTTTAGGTCAGTATTTGTTAGTAATAAAGACATCCTGGGGGATCGATTCATTTAATCATCACATTAACTCTAAGAAAGGGTATGACTATGATTTCAATTTTACAGAAGAACAAACTAAAGCACAGAGAGGTTAAGTAATTTCCCAAGATCACTCAGCTAGTAAATGGCAAGATTTGGAATCCAGGCACCTGATTCTAGAGCCTATGCTCTGACCTGCTCCTCTGCACTGCCTCCACTACTCCCCACAGGTCTCTGTGGAGCTGGTTTTCCAAATGTTTCCTAATGACAGCCCATGGGACACAGCTGGGACAAATCGAGGTTAGTGAAATTCTGCAGTTTCTTCCAGCTCTAGCAGTTGATGGTGCCAAGACTGTAAACATCACCATCAAGTCATCAGTGAACTCAGGGTCTGATCTATCAGTCAGTCTGACTGGGCCTTTCTAAGAGGACTCTGACTCGGGTGAGGCCCAGGGCCCCGACTGCCCCAAGGCGGGAGAAGAGCTGGAATGAGCATGACCCCACAGCCCTCAGCATCCAGGGAGCTGCTGGGGCTGCTTAGGATGAAGCCTGAGCTGACTTCGGTCCCCTCCTCACCTGGCTGTTCTGTGGTCCCAGGGGTTGGTGAGCTGGCTGAGAGCTGATCTGGAGAAACAGGGCGAGGGAAGGGGCCGAGGGCAGTGGATGCTGAGGGCGGGAAGGCAAGACTGGTAAAGCGGCACTGAAGAGCTGTCCGGGTTTACAGGTTACATCAGCCAGTCCTTACAGTGCCCCCTCCCCCCATCTTAAGCTGCCCTGAAGCCTCCAGCTCCTGGCCCACCTCAGACCATTTCCAGGGAGCCAGTGACACGGGCCATCACTTGGCACCTTGTCATCATTCCAGACAGCGCAGACTTAGATAAGAGTGCAACTGCACGGCCTGTCTCTGAGACCCCCATGCAGAGATGGGGGGCACAAGCCTGATTTTTCAAGTGCAGCTTCCTACGAGGGGCCCCAAGCAGACTGTGCTCAGACCTTCCCCCTTGACGTGATCCCCCCTCCTTGAAGCCCACTACTCTGGGTAATGACTGTCCCAGGACGAGAGAGCGAAATTCTGCATTTGGCAAAACAACCGTGGGTGCCATGCTCTTTGCACAGGATCAAACATTTTCCTCTTTTTAGTATTATCATTTTGTTTTCTAAGCAATGGAAATCTTGTAGGTAAAAAGCCCAGAGACTCTGGGTGGGGGGAGCGGGTAGCATGTGGGGCTGAATCCTGCCCATTTAGTGCCTGACTCTCTGTCCCCACCCCCACCCCTGGTGCTGCCTCTGTGCTGCCTGGACTGTTCCTCATAGATCACTATGGGAGAAGCTGGGGGCTCACTGAACTTCTATACATCAGAGTATTTCAAACACATGAGTTCAAATCCTTTTGAAATGGAAATGGTATCTAATTTGCGATTTCCATTTAAGCCATGTCACAGGGGTCCTGGCACATTAGGACCCTGGGGACATGTCACCTCCTTGGAGATTTCCCCAGCTTGTGTGTAAGCTTTGTTTGCATCTCATCATCAAATGGACACCCACATGGGGCCAGGCATCCTGCTTATTAGCAAAGACACAAAGATAACAGATGTAGCCTTCAAGGAGCTCCTGGTCTAGAGAAGATGGACAAATATAAATTACCCTCCTACAGAGGTTAAATGTGTAGCATGGAGGCATGTGTGTAGTTTTCTGGGGAAGAGCAGGGGTGGTGCCCCGTTTCTCCAGATTCTGGTTCTCCCAGAATCAGGAGGCTTCTGGGAGGGGCACTGTGGAGGCTGAAAGCATCCCCAGGAAAAGGGCGAGCACAGGCCCAAGGGCGGAGGCCTATGGGAGTCTGGCTCACTGGGAAGGGTGTACTTGCAGAGGACTGGATTGCAGGGGAAGAGGAAAGGGAGACGCTGCGGCCTGAGCAGCAAGTGGAACCAACCCATGAAGGGCTCGGCTGACTGCGCAGAGGTTCTTATGGGCAATGGGGCTTCTCTGAGGGCCCTTAAAGAGAAAAGGGACACAGTCGGCTTTATCCCATGCTAGAAACTCCTTTCCTGGGTCTATCTGGGCAAGAGGGGATGGACAGACTCTACCGGAGCACAGCCCACTCGGGGGGCCTGACGGACCAGTGCTGGCTCCCTGCCTCAGTCTCCCCTCAGCAGTACTCTGGCCCAGGCCTATCCTCAGAACGAGGGTCACAGGAATAAAGACCTTCTCTTCACATCTAGGACTCAGCATGCCAGGAGGTCTTGGTCTTCTTGGAGTCTGTTTTGGTTGCAACATTAACTTCTCTTTATGAAGGTGACAGCCATGATGGGCTATGGTGGGAAATTCTCAAGGTGGGAGGGGGAGACCAGGGACTAAGGACCACCACCAAGAGATAGCCTCCGTTTTCAAATCTGGGAAGTGGGAATAAAAATGAATGAGTTTCAGAGATGTGGAGGGCAGATGGGGAGATCCTTACCCCCCCAGGGCCAACCGCCTGCTGGGCTGGAGTCCCTTCCCCAGTCTCACTAGAGCCAACCCCTCATCCCTCCCACAAAGAAAGCCACTGATCCTAAAAGCAGTCTATCGATGGCTGCAGAATGACAGGAGCAAGCTGAGATTTTTGGGCAGAAAAATAATCCTAGTCACACTCACCAGGAAATGCAGACTTGTATAAATGTCACTAACATGGTAAAAAGTGGGTTGATAATTCTCAAACACCCCCTCACTGCCCTAGGGAGGTGAGAGCGTATTTCTTTTATCCCCTAGACAAACACTGTAAACACGTATTTCACACATAGGAGTGGGGCAAATGGAGTCACTTATAAAATTGTTAGTCTGAGCCCCTAAAGTATAGCTCACACTTGTTAGTGAGAGGAAAGTCTTCAACTTGTCGAGGTCACAGAACCATTAAATATTAACCGCATAACCATGTTGCCCATTAAGTTAATTTATGGAGTTGAAGAAATGCCTTTGGAGCCCCTCTTGATAGACACCTGGCCCTCAAGTGCCACATAAAACAATCACCCGACTAGCACTTGGTAAATTTTCCGTGACGCTCATCCAATCTGCTCCATATATGTTTAAAATTAACATTGAGATTTGGGCTGTGAAACCACCCCTTGGTGGAGGGACTGGCTGGCCAGTGAGGGCAGGGAGCCTGAAGTCTGGGGAGGTCCAGTGCCTGGTCAGACTTTCCAGGTCTGGGTCCTGGCAGAGTTGCTGGCTGCTCTGAGTGCACAGCCAGCTTCATAATTCTGGGTGGGTTTGAATCCCCAGAAAATCCCAGACTTGGAAGCCCACGTTGTCTAGCCTAGCAGGTAGGTCTGAGGAAGATGCTGGCCAACCAAGCTGAGCTGCATACGCAAGGTACTGGAAATCAAAAGTCCAGTGGTTCTAAGCAGTGGTCCTAGGACAGGCATAGACAACGGAAGGGCCGGCCGTGGACTGGCCTGCACATGGCACTGACTTGGAAGTCACTGGAGGGGGCAGTGACGCTGAGGGACACATGGGACCCTGAGTGGCCACAGACGAGACTACTCATGGCAGAGCTCTGCAGTGCAACACTAGGTGGCAGTGACTGTGGACGGCTGCTGGCTTATCCCTAATGGCCATTCCAAGGTCATTTGAAGGTCTCAGACAATCAGACTACAGATCCCAGCTTTCTAGTTCAGCATAATTAAAGGTCACTTCTGCACTGCCCAGCCCCCACCTTTCTCAGAGTAAATTCCAGCCTGTGAGAAGGCTGGCTGCTTGATGAACCCTGACATGACTCCTTGCCAGGCTCTGAGCAGGTCTCATCAGCACTAATCAGGTTAGCAGGCCCCTCCTCTTGCAGACCCCACTTAAGTGGCTCCCATAAACACCAGCAGCGCCACTGGGGCCCCAAAGCCCCCCTGAATCTCATCCCATTTCAGAACTCCAGTTCAAAGCCTGATGCCAGGAGATAAGATGTTACTGGTTTCCTCCTCCGGATGATCTGGGAGACAGCATTTCCAGGCATTTCCAGAGCCCAACTGCAGATCCTCTGGCTCCCGCAGCTCGAGGCGGCTGGGGCTGCTGTGGGCCATAAATCCCAGCGGGAAGAGGTCTCCTCCTGCCCTTTGCCCCTGCCTCCATTAGCTTTGCCCATTTATTTAATTTCTTGGGAAAAGAATAAAGAGAAATAAAAGCTCAGGCTGTAGCCATCAATTTGGCTGGAAATGGCAAATGCCCTTTAAAAAGAGAAATTAATATTGATCTGAAGAAGAAGAGCTTCTAGCTTGAGGGAATTCATCACCAGGGCATCCTTTCAGGTTAAAGCAGAAAATGTAACCAAGTATAATCTGCACAGGCATGAAATTCAAACTCGGGTTATAGGAGAGTATCTGGGAGTGGGGAACACCAGCTGATAAATGCAGCAACTTGATTCTTATTTAAACATTTTTATTGCCAAACACAGTGACTTAGAATTACGAAATATTAGCACAGAAAGGGACCTTACAGTTAACAATTCTGTGAAGGGACAGTGTGTCAGAAGTTAGAAACACCATGATACACACTCTCCTGCTCAATCCCTTTTCCAAACCCTGTGAGAGAGTTTTTTTATCCCAGTTTTACAGATGAGGAAATGGGTTCAGAGAGGCAAAGCAACTTGCCCAAAGTCACAGAGCTGGTAGGCAGGCATTGGGGTTTGGCCCCAGCCCTTCTCATTCTAATGCCAGCTCTTGCAACAAAGTAGCACCCCACACTTGCCTCTCCTCAAGATTCCTGAGCCACACTCTTTATTTAAGCAATTCCATCACCATCAAAGCCAGGGGTGCCCAGTGGTTACATTAAATTGTTTATGCCTTGTAATGATAATAACAAAAAGCTAGCATCTACTGACTCCTTCCTCTACACCAGACACTGTGTGCTGTTGCCTTACATGTGTCAGCTCACATCATCCTCATGACCACCTTCGGCGGAGGTATTATTCTCCTCCCTATTGCACAGCTGTGGAAACTGAGGCTCTGGAAAATTAAGTAACTTGCCCAAGTTCACACAGCTGGTGAGGGGTTCGAACCCAGGTGGTCTGGCCATCCACAGGTCATGTGCAAAGGCCACGGAAGTGGGAGCCTCTTATTCTTACTGCAGGGAGGTCCTAGGTTCTAATCAAATTAGAAAGACAAGTGGGCTCTGTTTCACAACATTGCTGTCTCTTTCCCATCGGTTCTTTGGCTGTTTTAGTGTGAGTGAGTGAGTGAGTGAGTGAGTGTGTGTGTGTGTGTGTACTTGCATCTATAAAGATGCATACACGAACATCTATAACTATCAAGATTTCTGTCAGTAAGCAAATATGCATTTCAGATGTTACTGAACTCAAAACTGATTCCAGCAATGTCCCAACAGGAACTCAAAGCAACAGTTCTCCTCTATCCAGCAAAAAGCCACAGACAGAATCCCTTCAGCAGGAGGCCCCTTCGCTGGGCTCCCAAGCCGGTGAAGTGATTTAAAATGCTGTTTTATAAACATGGACATGTCCCAAAAGAGCCAGAGGCTCAGCCGTGAGCCCAAGGCCCTCACGTCCCAGAGGTGGCCCAGCTGTGGGGCGACCCCTACCAGCCCCTCTGGCCAGGAAGTGCCAGGCCTCAGGCTGCCTCTGCCAAGCCAGAGCACAGGGTTTTGTTCAGACAGCCTTCCCTCTCAGATGGACAGACTCTCAGCAGACAGACCAGCCCCTTGTCCACCCCCAGATGCTTACCCGGCAGTACTCATCGATGGGCTTCAGCCTCCTCACCGCCACGTCCCGGATGTGGCTTCTCCGGAAGAGGATTTTGCCTGGAAGAGAGATGCTCGTGAGCCAGGCGATTCAGAGTAAAGCTGCCATGGGGATCTGGCCTCCCCACCTTGTTCCCCTCTCCTTATGGGCTACCACCTCTGCCGAGGAAACAAGAGAGGGGCAGTCACCTCCCCCAGGGGGCAAGAGGCCCCCAAAGCTGTGGGCCCAGGACCTCTCAGGCAGATGAGGGGCCCTGGAAGCTGCCATCTTGGCCGGATCACCTTGTCTGGGTCTGATAACATCCCTGGGGCAGGATCAATGTCGCCTGTGGGCGCAGCTCCCAAATGACCTCAGGAATAAAGACAAAGGATGGCTCAGCCCACACACTGCGCTTTGTTTTCAGGCCCATCCCGCCTGAAGAAACCAGCATTCATTCCTGCAGGCCAGGCAGGAATTCCTGTTCTTAGCTTAGGTGGGTGGCTATTTCCAGGGCAAGCACAGGCCAACACCAAGGCAATGGCTGCCCCAGCCTGACTGTTCTCCAGCCTCTGTGTGCACAGCCTCCAGCCATAGAGGGGCTTAAACCCTCTCCAGACATGGCAAGACTCTCAAGAAATGCCAGCCCTTAAACCTTCCCAGCAGGCGTCTGAGCTAGCCAGAGTCAATTATAGCAAATAGATCAATGCACAGTCCCTTTCAGGGGGCTAAATCTAGAGTCTTAACTCCTTGGTCTGACATTCTAGGTCTCACACACAGCTGACATTTCTGTTCCCAGTGGCCATCAGTGTCTAGGCCAATGCCCCTCTTTGGAAGGCTTTCCCTGATTGGCCAAGCTGGGAATAATCTCCCTTTTTCCAGAACAGTCACACACTTTGTCCATTTCCAGAGCAGTCACCACATTCTGCTGTGTGTTACAGAGAGCTGTGAGCCCCCTTCCACCAGGGGCCTGTCTGACTCATCTCAGGGCCCATGGAGCTGGCACGTGGTAAAGAGTTCACCCCATCACTCCAACAGGCATCTATTGTCCAAGTCTGCCCGACTTCCCTCTGGAGAGCCTCCCTCCTCCATTCCCAGTCCTGTGGTTCAAATGTAACTAACCACAGGCCCTGGCAACAAGAGTAGTCATGTGACCCAGCCTAGCCAACCGAGTCACAGTAACAGGCTCAGGGGACCCGACCTGAGCCAATGAGGGTCAACCTGAGGCTTCTGCTGACACCTTCTTTCTCCCATAGTTGCTAAGCTGGCAGGATGAAAGCCTGGACCTTCTACTGACCATCTTTATTATTGCCTGAGAAGGAAACCAACTGAGAGAAAGGATCTGTGCTTGGCAGGCACTTGATAAATGGTTCCTGAATAACTGAAAAGCGGAGCCGTGAGATGGTGAAGGGCAGATTCCTTTGACACCATTTGAGCAGCTGGATGTAGCTGTTATTGAACCCAGGGTCTACCTGGTACCTTCCACATGTATAAAACAAGTTGGAGACGGTTTCTCCCCACTTGCTTCGAAGGAGTCCTAATTGAGACAGCTCTCACTGCATGTGAACCAGTAGGCAGACCACACGGTAGTCCACGGATGTCTGTACCAAGGCCCCAGCAGAGTGCCAAGGACTGCCTTGGTTTAGGCCGTCTCCCCAGAAGCAGACCTGCAGACAAGGACTTGAGTGCAAGTCATTTACGTGGGAGGCGGTTCCGGGAAGTAGCACCAGGGGAGTGGGTAAGTAAGGCAGGGAAGGAAGCACTACCAAGCCAGTCAGTGACTGGGTAGCTGCAGACAGTTCTGCTGGGGAACTCGGAGGGATAACACAGAACATACCTCGGAGGGACCCCACCAGGGCGGGGAGCTTGAAGTATTTATCACCAACTCCCTGCTTGTTGCTGGGGGCATTCATTCTGTGGCACTTCTGGCTGAGTGGGCTCCCGTGGCTGGAACAAAGCCTCCAGTTGTCCCCATGAGCAGCCTTTGGTGGGTACAGCTGAATGGTAGGGACCTGGGGGCACTGAAAGCGACTGCTACAGCCATGCTTGACTTCCCTGTCACCTCAGGTCACCAGCCCTGCTCCAGTCAGACAGGGAACATCTAACTCATCACACTGACGGGTTCCATTTGCCTCTCATCTCTCCTCACACAGGGGAACCAGGAGCCACACCCCGCAGCTCCTTCCTCTCCCTGGCACCTACATTCCACTTGGCACAAGGCTTTGCATACAGCAGACACCCAGTGGTACTTGCTGGTCCGTCCATTCACCTCCTCCTAGACTCTCCCTCAAGCTCCCCTTCCTCCTGTTCTCTCTGAAGCCAGGCTGAGGGGCCCCCTCCCAGTCAGGATGACACTGTGCAGACCAGACAGTGTCATCAAGATGAATCAGCTCTGCCACGTGCTCCTTCTGAAAGGAGATAAAACATGATTTACCAAGACATAGGAGACGGCCGCTCTTCCTTGGAAGAAGAGGTCACAGATTTGGTATTCCTGGCCTCTTTGCCTCCTACCCTTTTTTGGTTGCCTGTCACTATCGCCTGCATGCTGCAGGGGCATATGTGTACAGCCATGGGGACGGTGTTTAAAAATAAATGCATGGTGTGAGAAGACCCACTCTCAGGACTGACAAATTGACAGGCGGTCCTGGGGCTACATTCCTGAGCCTTATTCCGAGGCAGTCATCCATAGGAGCTGGGGGTCACCCAGGCCCAGTGACACCAGTGGTCAAACAGTAACTCGCAGAAATGTGAAGGACTCTCTAAGCAGAGGAAACCAAACAAGAGGCTGCCGGAGGGACCAGGGCTCACAGACCTTGCTCTGCCATTCATTCCTTTTGAAAGGAGATAAAATGTGACTTATCCATTCTCCAAAAATAGCACTCCTGCCCTTTCTCAACCTGTTGGAGGACCAAAAGGGAAGGACAGAGATAAGGAGACAAACTGGTCCCCCTCCCAGGCCCCATCCCACAGCTGGCCAAGCCTGTCACTGAGTCTGGTGCCCCTGAGAGCTAAGGTATAGGTACTGATGCAGAGGTCAGGTAAGACCTGGTCCAAGTGCAGAGACAGAATGAGCACAAAACAAACAGTTACAGAACTGAGGCCTCTATAAGGTGTAGAAGGTTCGGAAAAGAGAGGGATGAGGGTGATGAGGTGGGGAGCTGGTGGGGGGCCCCCTCACCCACACTAGTGCGGGACCCCCACTGAGCCCCTCAAGCCTACCCTCTGCAAGTGAGGCTGCCGTGCCTCTGGGCTGGACACTTTCCATCCCCCTCAGGACCGGCGGGTCTGTTGCTCAGGTGCAAAGTCAGGGAAGAATTCTATACAAGAATTTCCCAGTTTTCTGGAATCCCAACAGGGCTTCTCTCCTTCCCGCTGAAATCCTGACAGGAGCACCATTTTCTTTTCTTGGGGCTTTGGCACAGGCAGCCAGGAGGACGGGGAGAAGGGGAGGGAAGACCTGGAAGGGATTCTGCGGCCTTGGCTTCTCTGTTATGGATCCAAACCGCACTCTGAAAGCCAAGCCGGTGACTGTTTTGAAAGGGAGAGGGAGAAAGAGGAGGAGGAGGAAGATCCCCATCAAGGAAGCCGAGACCACAGGGCGTTCAAGCCCTCCTGTAAATGTAGCCCAGCCTGTGCAAGGCTGGGAGAGGCTGCCAGTCTTCCTAGCCATGCAGATGCTGCCCCAGAAATGCTGTGAGCATCATGAGAGCGGCCCTGGAGCGTGACGCATTCCCGCAAGCAGAAGGAAGCTGTTGAGCCTGACAGGGCCTGAGCACGTAGGAGGTCCCTATTCCTGCTGCTCTGGGCCGGGCTGAGAAGCTGCGCCAGCAGGAGTAGGGCCCTGCAGGGGTCCCGGGTTCAGGTCCTCCCTGGTCCGCAAGCTGGCTGTGTGACCTGGAAGCAGGCTCCTTGTCCCCTGGGCCTTTGCCTTCTCATCTGGAGACAGAACAGCCAGGGCTCCTCCATCCAGAGGCCCTGAGGTTTAGTGGGCTGGTGGAGCTGAGGGGGCGGAGGACTGAGACAAGTGGTAGTAGCAGCTAAGGGCCAGGCACATGCTAAGAGCTCGCCACTGGCTTCTCACTGCCCCACGAAGACTTTGGAGCAAGTACTTTTACTATGCCCACTTCACCTAGGAGGAGTCGGTGGTTTGGCAAGGTCAAAGAATTTACCCAAAGTCGCATAGCTATTAGGTGTGAGTTGGGTTTTGGAGCCGGCTAGTGACAGAGACAGAGAAGGCAATCAATCCCGAGAGTTGGACTCAGTTCACGTAAGGCCTGGAGAGCATGGTGAGGACTTATAATGTTATTCTGTGTGGGACACGAGCGTTATTAACATCTCCCCCATACCAGCTGCTGTGTGAGGGCTGGGAAACAGCTACCTCGGAGGCTGACTGAGAATGCAGCAAGCCGCACCATGGAGGGTGGGGTAAGCCATGGTGCATGACGTGCAGCAGCCCTCCGAAGGCCTACCAGATACAGGTGAATGAGTGACAGTGAGTGGGTGAATGGACCAGCCGAGCAGGGAAGGAGGGGGCACCCACTGCAGTTTGGGGTGAAACAGCAAATTTCCCTGGCCATTAAAGCACCCTTCCTGCCTCCTCCCACTACCCCCATCCTGGCTGCGCAGGTGCTGGCCCAGCATGACCAGAGGGATGCTGACCCTCACAAGTCGGGGGGGCAGCACCTGGGGGAGGCCCATCTCTGCCCCACCCCCTAATCTGGCCTGACCTTCTCCCAGGAGTGCCCACTTTGGGCCAGGACAACCACATGGGGCACTGGCGCAGGAAGGCAGAGGGGTTTCTTCCTCCCAGGATAACAGGCACTTAAAGAGGCAGCTCGGTGGTGCCTGATGGGTTTAGCAGTTGGCATGTGCTTCTGGAGAATGCACTATTTCAGGAGCTGAGAGATGAGGACATAGCTCCTTCTTACCACTAGAGAGAAGTGGATAAAGAAAAGACAGAAACTTCTAAGAGCAGTTAAACCCCTAGGCCAGCCACAGACTGCAGGGTCCCCCCTGTGAAATGTGGTACCCACGGGGGGTGGCGGGGGAGGTCTGTGAGTAGGAGTCAGGGGCCAATGGCCCA